TATGATTTTATGTAAAATAATTGATATGAAAAAGCCGTCGTATAAGTTATGACCCCATTTCACCACACGCAAGTGGCAGAAATGACAATGATCAGCTGACGCATTTTTCTTGGCTGATGTCAGAGCGCGCGGCCCGACGCACCACGCGTATTTGGAAATTCCGACCTCGACGAGCATCAGAAGCCAACTAACAGGCGTGTTCGAAACCGCAGGAGCTGATGATGAACGGGTTTATCGAAACTTGATTGGATGAGCATATCGGTAATAGCGATTTCAGTGTGTGCATTTATTGTTCATAGTGGTGTGAAATGTGGTTGGGGTACGACCGACAACCCGTCGGGGCGAATTTCGCACTGGGGTACTCAAAATTTGAAGAATTTAAGACGTTTCCATGAGTTTTGAAGGTATGGATAAGTTCTAAAAATCCGGTTCTCCTTATCTGGGCCATTAACTCCATACGGTCCAAGAAAGCTGGCACACTACCTTTAAGGGACCGTCCAGTGGTAGGTTTCGGGGACATTCAGTGGAGAAAATGAGTGATCAATCTGGGTGGCAACTGACAGTTATCGTCAGGAATGGATGGGATAAGTTTCTAACGCTGCCAACATTGGAGTATGGTGGTCAGACCCCCGAGCACTCCACTCCACAGTCCTTGGCAGCGTATCGTGCGCCAACCTCGCGCCGGACCGCGCGCCGGTGATAGGCTATCGCTGCGCCGAGATAGCGGCATGGTGCCCCGGGTGGCGCGGACCTGCCTGAGACATAGCTCACCACGTGCTTCAACTGCTGGAACACTCCAGCCGCTTTCGCTGTTGTTTTTCAGCTCGGACAAAAGGAAAGGGGTAGATAACATGGAGGTTACATGTGCTTGAAGTCTGCCGATGGGTGCTCGTGACGCGTGGGCGGCCTATCCCGACCGTTCGGGCAGCGCCGCTGCCTGTCCGGCTCGCTGCCCCCGGCACTCGCACGTCCTCTCACAATGGTGAACCGGTGCTGGAGAGTATCGGAAGACCAACTCTGCATGGCGATGACTGCAGTCCGCTGCACAAATTCGCTGAGCTGTGATAGGTGAGGATTCCGCGTCGCAGCGGCGCCAGTGTTTAAACCGGAGGGTCAGGCGAGATCGGTCACGTCCTTTCAGTACCACGTCAGCGCCCGATAGTCCCCGTGTCATTGCCGTCGAACGCTCGCCAACCCGGGCCAATCAGTCGGCTCATTAGCTAGTCTCCGGAGTACGTGCCCGTAGCGTTATCGCTGGTTCGTCCAGCGCTGAACGGTCAAGGCTCGCCCGCTCGGACGTCCGTGCCGCCTCGTGCGGGGTATTTACGACCGCCGCGGTCAGCCGGCGGGCGGTGAGCCGGCGTCGGCAGGCGGTCACGCGGCACCGTCCACGGCCGGCCGCTGCTCCATAGGGCCAACCGCTGGTCTCGGGGACACCGCCGGCGGCCACGGGTCCGTCGTGGACCAGCCGGCTCACCAAGGCCGGAACAGAGCCTCGCCGCCGCCTCAGAGCGGGACGGCAGCCGGCGAGGCTAGGAGGCCTACCGTTGACCCTCAAAGCGTCCCATGACTAACCCTAGCCATCACCAGTATCCTCAGCACGGTGATGGCGCGGTGTCCACCACCCGCGGCGGTGCCGCACTCGATTGGTCGGGTGGCCGGTCTGATAGAAACTCCGCCCGCTGCCCGCGGAGGAAATGGGGTAGATTGGGAGGGCGGGGCATCCGGCATGAGCGCTGAGGTAAACAATTCAAATGGGAGCCTGCGTAGTGAAGGGACTGGTGTAGTTTGATGGGGATTATCTGAGCTCGGAAAGGAATAGAAACTGCTGTAGACGGCAAGGGTTTGAGCTGACCAATGACTGAGTGGAAAAGGGTTTGGTTTTGGGTAAACTGAGGAAGTGTGGTCTTGACAAATATGTAAATCATCTGACGTCAAATGTTTGCGCCAGGGTTGATGAATGCCTGACGTTTCGCCAGCGTGCGATCGTACCTAAAGCTCGTCTAACGAGGCACGGGGTACCGGTCCGCTACACCGGTGTCTTTCGTGTTTATTCAAAACAGCTGATACACGCCCAAGCCCTCCGGTTTTTATCACACGCAGGGTTTACAGCTGTAATCTAATGCCAACGAACTCCTTAGCACCCTATCCGTGTTTTTCCTCTTTTGGCAGAGGAATGTGGCAGAATGTGTTGTGAAGTAACTGCTGATAAAAGATAGCCAAAACAAAGTCACGACTGCCTGACTTTGTGCAGGCTGGAGCTCGAAACAATTGTATGAATGTCTGCAATATCCAGCTCTTGGTCAAAATCGGAGATGTCTGTTGACTGTACTGTATATGCAGACTCAGTCACTTTATCCGTCGGGGCGAAGACCGGCATAACCACCTTTTAGAGCATTTCACGATCTCCGATTACAAGTTGATTTATCAGGACCTTCTTTAGCTCGTCGCACCGTTCTGATGCGGGATGAGATCCGACTACCGCTGTGTCTGCCGTTGAGTCTGTCCCATGTCGACTACCGGAGCAGTGCCGGGTCCCTGGGTCGGGGAGGGCAGACCCGGCGGCGGGCGGCGCGCGCTGCTATTGTGCCGGCTCTGGGCCGGACCGCCGCCGGCGGTTGGCAGCTGGGAGCGCCGAGCGGCGGCAGCGCGCGGTCGACGGCCGCCAGTCAGCTGCTGCCGCCGCGCGCCGGCCCGCAGCGGCACCAGGTGGTGGCAGAGGGCTCCCCCGGCCCGAGCCGCACGCACTGAGCGGCGCGGCGACACCTGCCGACCCGCCGGCCACAGCTGCCGACCGGCCGACCGCGCCGACCGCGCCGCGCGGCCCCGCTCGTCCGCCGCCGCCGTATCGTCCGTCAGCGTGCTGCTCCGCCGCCGGGCCGCTAATTGGAACACGGGGGATGGCTGCTCCGGCATCACGCCGTGCTGCTGATGACACGTCTATCTGACACCGTCCGACACGACTGGCACCGTCTGACACAGCGGCCTCCGGCGATAGTGGCACGGCCGGTGACGTTACCCGACAGCGCAGCTGACACGTCACGCATTATGTGGGGCAGCGGGCTGCATCGCAGGTAAGCAAGCAGAGCAGACCATTTAGTGACAACAAGATACGCGACATGTTCACTGAATGCTGGCAAATTGCTAGTCAGTTCCATAATGAGGCGGTTTTGACTTGTCATTAGTGAACGTTTATTGTGTAGGTGATCTCATTTTGGGTTTGTGTAGCCGGCACAATCCATAGAACCACGGATGTAAACGATCCAATTATGGTTGAACTTTCCCTGACGAAACATACCAACCATGTCACATTGTCACGGGTATTTCTGCTCTCAGAGCTACCGAGGGGTATGGCGCAAGGTGCCATCATTTCGGGCTGCCTGCCATCACCGATTCGTGGGTTCTCTTTGTCGGTGTTACGGCTGCGGCGGCTGTAACCACGAGTGCCGTCCACACCGACCGTGAACACATTATTCCCTGTCCCGGCGATCGGTGATCGGTCGACGGCGAGGTAGCTTTGTTTTCCGATCGGTGGTGAGCTCACGGCATGCTGCTGTGGTAGGCTGAGTTGTCATGGTTACCGTCGACGGCAACTTTGTGACCCAAATGGGTCGGGAGCGCGTGGACCGATACAAGGTAAAACGTGACTGGTTTCTTTCCGAGGAACCGTGCGCGTGGGTGATGTATGGACACATTGCTGTTGTGCGATATTTTTGGGTGTGAGGCCGCACATCTGAGAACTGCCTGGGAATGTCATCATTGATCGGTGACCGTGTCCGGGGTGTCGGCCGTCCGGGCAGCGGCAGTGCGAAGGGCTGACGGCTGACGCTCGCCGCCGCCAGCTCGTGATGGCCAGTCACCGTGGCCGGCCGCCGCGGCGCGAGGAGCCGTGCGCGCGGTCGACGCCCGACACGCGGCGTTCGTGCTCGGTCGGCGCTTCACACGGCCGGCTGGCCGTGCGCCGGAGCCGTGACGCCGCGTCACAACGGCCGGGGAGCGGCGGCCGCCTCCTCGAGACAGCACACAGCACACTGCACGGCGCACAGCAGCGGACAGTGGCCGGCCGCGGAGTGGCGGCCGCACTCTGCCGCGCCGGCGCACACTGCACAGCGGCAGACGGCCGCCGGCCACTACGTTTTCACGCCCGTTTTGTGGCTCGTCCGAACACAGTCCACTCCACCGCAGTCTGTTCCATTGACCATTACCGTCTGTCCAAGACCCAGACTCCAGCAGTCGGATCCGACACAGCCCCCCACCGGTCAGTCGGTGGCCTGTCGTCGGTGACCGTCGGCTGCGCTGTCCGCGGACGGCGCGCCTCCCCACGGACCTGTCAGCGCGCTCACACCGGTCGGCAGAGCCGTCTTTGTGGCCCCGTCACCATTGTTCGATATTGAGTCACCTTTTTAGCGGCGGGGCGGCGGTGCAGCGGCAGTGGACCGAGTTCCCACCAATGCAGGACGATTGAAGCGAAGGGTGGCCATTGTCCACGTCGATATGGCATGTTTTAGCGCTTCTACAAGCCAGGAATGGCTGTTACATGGCGTCCTGTTCTTCGGTAGTTACTTATTTTCCGATAATCTGATATTTCCCTCACTGACACTCCCAACACGTATTAGGCGCAAATGAAACGCTATTGTTCTATTGCTTCCCTACAAGGCCACCGCTCACCGCTGCCATGTTTTGTTATGTCAGTAGCTCGGAGTTGCTGCGCCCGAGTCGGCAGCCCGCTGTCCGACCGGCAGCAAAACAGCCCCTTCCGTGCGGCGCTGCCGGCGATAAGCGCCCCCTGCACCGCCGCGGCGCGCCGGCTGGTCTGTATTTACAGCTGAGTGACGAGCGCTGACCTCGCCGTGCCGTCACACCCGTGACCCCGACCCGACGCGGCGCGCGCCCGTGACCCGCCCGTGACCCGGCCGCAGTGTGGCCGCTGACCCGTGTGACCCGCCGCAGTGGGACCGCCGACCATGACCGCCCCGTGCCCCTCCCTCCCCGTGCCGCAGGTCAAGTTCTCGCTGCTCGATGAGCGTGATATCAACCTGGTGCAGCAGTATGCGTTCGAGGCGCGGCTGGAAATCGATCGGAACGGCAACGGCGCGGCGGTGTACGCCTGGTGCTTCGACATCAACCGCGGCCGCAGCTCCGGACAGTTCGTGCACTCGATGCTGTGGTGAGTGGCGAGCCCCCCGGCCGGGCGGCGGTGGCGGTGCTGGGTCAGTGAGAGGTACCGCGACTCAAAATGTCACTGGCGTCCTGTCACCCGGCGTCTGTCACCGAATGCCACTGTGTATGATACCTAAATGTGCACGCTCGCATTGGGAACAGCACTGCGCTGATAGTAAGGCTCGGAGGAAAATGTCAATAGTAACGTTTTGCATAGGCTCTTTTCTCTTTACCGTTTCTAAAGTGTCTCGGCAATGGAAGGCACCTAGGCAGCTGTCATTTGACGTTTTGCTGTGGGGTCAAGTTCACCTCACCCCGCCATCCCAGTACCAACTTTTAACCCTCTCCTCCTCACTCTCAGGGAGCGCTACTGCGGCGGCGTGGCGCCCGGCTGGCGCATCATCCACATGAACGGCATCACGGTCGACAATCGGATCGAGAACCTGGCGCTGGTGCCGGACCGGCCGCGCGGCCAGGGCCCGCCCACGCCCGTCGAGCTGGAGGCCGAGCGTGAGACCCGCGAGCGTGACCGCGACCCGGCCACCTCCATCTACTGGCGCGCCATGCAGCAGCTGCCCGCCGAGAACGTCGAGGTGGGTGTGGATCGGAGTGGCCAGTGGGTGAGGGTAGGGGGAAGGCAGACTGTTGTAATGTACACTTGCCGAGGAACCTTTATTCAGCGCAGTGTTGTGGTGACAGACAAGCTGCAGTTTGTTCAAGTGATGTTTTAAGCTAAGATGAAATTCGTTATCAGCATTCCCGTGGTTGAACTTTTCGCTTGGAACGGTATCTTAGGAACAACAAATTTAGAAGAAGTCCAAAGTGCTATGGTTATCATCAATCCGCCTATACAGGCTCATTTTGATTGTGGTCCACACATTGTCCGAACCCTGGATATCCAAAGTCGAGTCGCGTTGACCGTCTGGTGTGCAAATCGACCTTTTTCTGTTTAACTAGAAGAGTCAGACATTTCGTTTTTTCTCACAGACAATGACAATAGGTACAAAAACAATGTAATAAGACCAGACGTTTCGACAACAAAGTGCCTTCGTCAGTGGAAAAACAAGATATAGGCTTTACATCGATAAAAAATATAGAAGACGACCAGCCTGCACGAAATACAGTTTTACTTTTTTGAAATACAGGTTAATTCTAATCTCGCACTAAAATGTTATATCGTTCTTCTGTCTAAACTATTCTGTAAGTCATAATCACAGCATTGGAATCGACACATTGACACATTATAACAGAGACACTCCTATGTATAGATATAGCTATTTGTTTTTTAGCACCATTTTCGCACCTATCCTGGACCAGCTGTAGAAGCCTGGCTTTATGTTAACGGTGTCTTCAAGTAAAATATATGCAGCTTCCATGGCTCTCCTAATCGGTTTTGGCATGCCCTTTTCCATCACTGTAGCTGAATCCCAAGCTGGAAGATGATGACACTTTTCTATATGAAGCACCATCGCATTGGATACATTATGATTTCGAACATCACGTTTGTGCTCTTGAAGTCGTGTTTTCAAACTTGGATTCGTTACGTTGACGACGTGCTCGTAATAGTTCCACACGATATGAACCTGAAAGAGAAGGTTATTGCCCTGAATGCCGTCGATCTGAAAATCCAATTCACAATTGAAACCGAAAACAGCGGAACGATTCCTTTCCTGGACACACTGGTTATTAGGTGCGGAAGTACAGCAAAATTTAAGGTATACAGAAAGCCTACAAATAAAGAAGACTACGTCCACTTCCTTTCAGGACACAGCGATCGCGTAAAAAGTGGCATAGTCATCGGCTTCTTTCTCCGAGCATTCAGGATTTGTAGCGAAGAATTCCTCGACGAAGAGATCACCCATATATACGAAACGTTTACAAGACTTCATTATCCAAAAGGTTACTTAATTCGGCTCCAAAACAAGGCGAAGGAAATAAGGAGGAAGAGTGTAGAAGAAAAGAAGAAACAAAAACAAGAACAAAAGAAACGAGGACGATTCATAACGATTCCCATCTCGAAACAAGCGAACGAAATAGCGACTAGTCTACGATCAGCTGGAACCAATGTAGCCATCGTTTCAGGATCCAAGATTCAAGATTTAGTGCGACCGAAGAAGGTGAACACATCAGACAACAGTGTTATATATAAGATACCTTGTTCTGGACCATGTTCAAAATCATATGTCGGTGAAACGGGGAGGGGTTTGAAAACACGACTTCAAGAGCACAAACGTGATGTTCGAAATCATAATGTATCCAATGCGATGGTGCTTCATATAGAAAAGTGTCATCATCTTCCAGCTTGGGATTCAGCTACAGTGATGGAAAAGGGCATGCCAAAACCGATTAGGAGAGCCATGGAAGCTGCATATATTTTACTTGAAGACACCGTTAACATAAAGCCAGGCTTCTACAGCTGGTCCAGGATAGGTGCGAAAATGGTGCTAAAAAACAAATAGCTATATCTATACATAGGAGTGTCTCTGTTATAATGTGTCAATGTGTCGATTCCAATGCTGTGATTATGACTTACAGAATAGTTTAGACAGAAGAACGATATAACATTTTAGTGCGAGATTAGAATTAACCTGTATTTCAAAAAAGTAAAACTGTATTTCGTGCAGGCTGGTCGTCTTCTATATTTTTTATCGATGTAAAGCCTATATCTTGTTTTTCCACTGACGAAGGCACTTTGTTGTCGAAACGTCTGGTCTTATTACATTGTTTTTGTACCTATTGTTGTTCTGTTTAACTTTGTGCGCGGTGGCTAAGTGACTCATCTCTGCCTAGGCCCGAGCTGTCTCCTGTCCTCTGCAGCTCTGCTCTCGTGTCCTCTGCTCCGCTCTTTCTCCTGTAATCTGTTCTGTCTGATGGTCTGTGTAGCTGAGGCTCCAGACTGCTCGCTGTCTCTACCCTGTTTTTAACGCTCGCCACAATCAACTGTTTGCTGACTGGCCAGCGCGGAGTGTAGTGACGGAACTATTCGCCGCAGATGTAAGCACTGCGTTACGTTCCGTCTGATATTGTCCATTCGGACAGTTTTGTGCAGCAGCGGCGCTCGTTTTTGTCCGTGCCGTTGTTTAGAGAATCTCGTGGCGACTCTCTGATGCCTTTCCGCCGACTCTGGATCGGGTGCAAGCTGAACCTGGCTTGCTGTTGTTAGGCTGTGCTGTTATCAAAGCAATGACAAGTTGGCGCCGAAATGTTCAGTCCTTTCGTTTTTGCCGCATTGTTTCATCTTTGGTACGTTTATTTAACCTTCCCATGGTCCCATTGCAGTACGTCTCAAAGCTGCAACCATCCCTGTGACGCCTGAAGAGTGTTGGTGTTTCCCGACCAGCGCCTCCCTCAGGGTATCACCCCAGTGCTGACCCTCATGTGTTGACCCACAGAGCACCAGCACCATCATCCGCGTGCCGCTGGACGGCATTGGTGACCTGAGCGAGGACGAGTGCATCTACTTCGAGTGCCGCAACCCGCCCTGCACGCGCATCGAACGAGAGCTGCGCGAATTCAGCATCTGCGGACGCTGTCAGGTGAGACACCGCGGGCTATTGTCGTTTTGACCAACAACCGTAATCGTGAAGTGCATTTTTCACTTGAGCCAGTATCATAACGTTGCTGTTATTACCATGCTATTGCCATAAATTCTTGTAAATTGCTGGACTATACGCACTTTTTGCTGCCACTGACGTGGTCTGACCCTCGCTGCTCTCCGTGTGCCACCAGACTGCCCGCTACTGCGGCACCTCCTGCCAGCAGCGCGACTGGCCCGTCCACAAGAAGTCCTGCCGCGAGCGCAAGCGCTTCATGCTCGGTGAGCGGCCGCCGGAGCGCTAGGACCGCCTTGGTGCGGCGCGCCGCCCCTCTGCGGCCTGCGGGACGGTCCTCCGGCCGGTCCCCGATCTCAGTCGCGGCGGCACCGCGCCGCCACCGCCGGCCGGCGCCGCCCGCTCAGCCCAAGACACGGCGCCGGCCGCGGAGTGGCGGCGGCGCGGTGCGGCCGCGCGCGACCCGCCGCAGAGGACGCCACCGAGCCGCCGAGCGCCGCAGCCAGCGGAGCACCGGACGGCGCGAAGTGGCTGGGCGTGGGGTGAACTGCCGAGCTGGAGCGAATGGGGCGAGAGATGGTGGAGACTGAGAGTCCGTGAGGGAATTGGAGCCGCTGATCATTTCCCGTACCTCTGAGGAATGGTCATTCCGTTTATGGGAGACCCTTGCAAGAGGTGATGGGGGAGCAGCCTGGTATCAGGAGATGGATAAATCGACAGCCTCGCGGTGTAACGGCTGCGTTGTCAGCTAGGACAGTGTTGGTGAAAGGGACGCATTCCCACCATGCGGGCGATCTGCCCCGCCGTCCGCGCGTGCTGTGTGGGGGTACCGCCAGGTATCGGGCTCCAGTGTGGGCGACCCGCAGCTGGGGAGGCCGGCCGACCCGGGCCGTTGCTCCTCGGGAGGCGGCGGGGCGGCGGAGGGGCGCCCTCAGCCGCCAGCGCCGGGTGTATGTATGTGTGTGTGGCGTTGCATATAGGGCTCACGGGTGTGTGTATTGTATAGTGTGTGGGGCATCATGACATTCCATGCATCGTGCGGCGCGTTTCACCGTTTTCCATCGCTCTTGCCATGACTGACCGACGCACGAACGCCTTCACCGGCACTGCTGCCTGCTCACCGCGAATCGAATCGAATCGATGCACATCGGCGCGGTCGCACCGACCGCCCGGCCTGCCTAACCAGTGTCACGTGTGGGTGTTTTGTGTGCGCTGTATACCTCATTAAGCATTCCCTGGTGGGGCCCAAAGAACGACATAGGCATAAGGAGGCTTTTCACTGCACAGGTGTGGAACACGGCATCAAAGGGAGGCTGCGTGCATATTTAGGGTTTTGTGTGCTATCTGTACAGTGTGCGTCTGTACACTGCCAAAGGCGAGCCTGCTCTCTGTTAAAGCTGCAGCGGATGATCGTCGATACTTTCTGGCATATCTTGCACGCTGGCACATTTGAATGGCGAGTTCTATTGAGAATATCGATGGCTAATGTGAAAAGCATTCCACCGACGCGCAAGCTCAACGCTCTTTCTGTTGGCATTACTAACGGGGCAACTGTTATCCGACTGTGTACTGTTTATCTGGCCGTTTGGGTGTGTTCCCAATCGCGTGTAGCAGTGTGAATTTGGCTCCAGTATCCTTTGGGTGTGTTTTTGTGGAGGTAGATCTCCGAGTACCACCGCCGTCGCGGAAAAGTTGCCTGCCGCGGGCCCTGGGATAGCGCTGAGCTCACGCCGCGCTGCGTCGCTGCTCGTCTCGCCTGCGTCACTGCTCGCCTCGCCCGCGTCGATCTCTGGCCGTGGTGCGGCGCCCTGGCCCGGCCGTCCGGCCGCGCGGCACACATGCTCAAGTTCCGTGTGTCGCGCGGGCTGTCCGAGACGCCGGGCGGTGGTCGGTGGACGGCCCCGGCAGTGTCCGTGTGCGCCGAGGTGGTGGTAGACTAACGGCGCGGTGACCGGTGACGGACCGAAATCCTCCGCCCTCCGTGGCCGGTGCCGACCCGCGGCGGCGCGCGCGGACTGCGGTCGGCCCGGTCCGCACACCGGCGCCTGTACAAACGAGAAACTCAGTGTGTGCTCTCTGTGTGCTGTATGCGTGGGTGCGGTACGTAGGGGGCTCCGGGGGACGTCGGAAGGCGTCTCGGGTGACGCGCCCGACCCGACGACCGAGCCGAGCCGATGTGTGAATGACCTGAGTCCTCCTCTCTGCCGTTGTGCTTTCTTTTGTTTGTACTCGTGTACGCACTGGTTCCGATGTGGGTGGTACATTATCTAGTCGACTAACCAAGGATTCCCAGTTTTTACTAACATTGTACATGCATCTACAATATAGGTATTTATATGAGCCGTGTGTTTTTGCTTGGACGAGCTGCTGCCCGTCCGTCGCCCGTTGGGACTGAAAATCGTACTGCAGATGGGCGACAAGGGTTCCGAACGAGCTGAATTAAACCATCCTATTGCTATGTTGTCCAAAATAAGACTTGAAGAGTAGTCTCCTCAACCGTCTGACCTCTGGCTGGGTGGGTCAAGAGGCCCATCCCAGGGGTCCTGGCAGGGCCGACTGTTAGTGGATTACTAAGATCGCCGGATGCCGAGCTCATCAACACTTGGGCAGGGATTGTGACTGTGGCCTCATGCCATCCGTGGCGCTTCGGCGCCACCCTGCGGCATGCTGAGGCCCCAGGTGCTTACAATGGGATTACCACGGGATTACTTGGATACCTATGTATTCACCAGCAGCGTTACCGCTGGCGTCTCGCTGGTTTCCCCAGATTCTCACGAAAATTTCCCTATTTTGAAAATCATTTCCCTAGATGCGGCTATTTTCCTGGAATTTGACGTACGTTCGTCATTTTAACCATTCGTGTTATAGTCGCTGCGTCGTAAACAGCAATTAACTACATTCTGTTACGTTAACGTAAGAGATTATAATGAAATTGCTGGCATATAACAAATTACTGTATGTGCCGTGGTATAATATAAGTGCGTGGTATATCGCAAATTGTGGGGTGTTGCGGGACGCGGGAAACTATACCGTATAGGTAGTGCTGACTGCTGGCGATAAGAGACGATTCGATGCATTAACCCGGTTTACATAGCATATTTGACGAGGCTCTAGCTCGTTAATTTGGCGATAATTTCGTTGCAGTGGTCTTCAAATACTTAGAGGGGATCATTTTGTAAATTGTTAAGCACCATTGGCATCTTTTGCAACATCACGGACACGGACGCGGAGATATAACCTTGCCACAAACCCTATGTAAACGCGTCTATTATTTCGCATGCCGTCAGACGTCAGTTTGACCGTAAAGAAGTGAAATGCGCTAGAAATTGTAAAAATCGCGCCAAAACAAAAACTTTGATGTAAAAAATTAGCCGCACCCGATATGGTACAATACAAAGCATGGAAGCCGTTTGTTCTGAAATAATAGCAAGAAGCATATATGCATGCATAATTATGTAATTCTCCCTATGTATTTCAAACGAGAGTATCAAACCTGAATTTTGTGAAAAATGTTCTCATATTTATTTCATATGACATGCGGAAGAATAATTCATGACAACAATGATTTCGATTGTTGAAAAGAACAGCATTTTTTCGGGTTATGGCATTTCCCTAGATTTCGTGGCAAATCCATATATCCCTAGATCTTCGCTGATTTCCATAGAAAAGGGAAATTTCCCTAGCAGCGGTAACCCTGTTCACCAGCATTATTCAGCCAGCAACAGAATCGACGAGGGATTATGGGAATAGAGAACAGTCTGGAAATGATCGAAATGATGTTGCAATAAGCCGTCAAGTCAAGAGCTTTTTATACTGCATGACGTCATTTTACTACATTCTGACCAATCAACAGCTGCCAAGTTAGTATAGGGTCACGTGATTCACGGGGACTAGTGACACGTTATCGTGTGACGTCATGCCGTCGCAGTAGCAGAGTTCACGACATTTTTGGTGCATTTGCGACGATATTCTCGGGCCCGGCTTTTGTGTGGATGGTTCTCAAAATCGAAAAAGCTATTTTTAAACATATATTACTGAATCAAGATACAGTAAAAACTGCAAAAGCAGTATAATTGAAATTGTAGAATGTTAAATACGGGTAAGTACCTAATGTATCTCAGAAAATGGGTTGCAATCAAGGGTTGGTTTCAACAGTTCCTTTTCATTTTGCTTTGCTGTTCCAAAGTCAACAATTAAAAATACCACTGGTTTTAATTTAGAATTTAATTCAGTATCACCTTTCATCATTGACAATGATAATATTTTGGTAATTCTTCAGGATGTAGATGGGTACGCATGTCACATTGCATTGTCATTGTGGAATAAATAATAATGCTTGCACGTTGACATTGACACTGGACCTGTCAGTTATGGTTGAGCTTGTTATATAATAATACTTCTGACGACTTCCTTATTTTCTTTGGAAAATGAGTCAGCTAGAATAATGGCTATGTGAACACAAGCATGTTCTTCCAGTCTTCAAGAGGGGAGCATGTGCTATCAGAATAATGTTTTCAATCTTCATGAAATCTGAGGGCTCTTCACAGGCCCTGTGTGCGATAGGACTGTACACAGGCTGTAAGCTCCGCCCACTGCGTCCCTACGTCATCCTTCAGTCACCGCACACAGTGTGGTTGGCCTACCCATCCCCTACCCCCGTCCCCCACGCCTGCTGCACACACCGCACTCAGCAGCTTGCGGAACCCATGAACACTCCTCTGGGGTGTCTCTCATAGGCAAATACTTACCACTTAAACTTGAAAATTGTTGAATAGTGAAATGTATGTTATAAGGATTCCAAATGACAATTACTATGGATGTAAGTCTCTTTCAAGTTTCAACTGCCACACCCTCCAAAGTGAGAGATTCTGTTTCAGCTGACAAGTGGCAACAGTCTGAGGGATTCTTTGTATTTCCCTTTTAAAAGATCAAACATTTGCCATTGCTGAATGTTTCCTGGTAGGTATTAATTAACGAAAGTTTTGGCTTCTTTCCTTTGAGGTTTAATAATATGCATTCAGTTGAAAGAGGAACTGATGCTTTTAGGCCTGCCCATTTATATAATATCAGTAGGCATTCATTTTTAGTAGAGGGCTCCCTATCAGGCACCATCTGTTCCTGTCTTTGCAGTGGTATTACTGCTGGGTGTGGTCACAGCCGGCCAGTGCCTCTACACATCCAGGGATGATGTTGTCGAGCTGACACCGAGCAACTTCAACAGAGAAGTCATCGATAGTGACAGCATCTGGATTGTGGAGTTTTATGCACCATGGTGTGGTCACTGCAAAAACCTGGTGCCAGAGTACAAAAAGGCTGCCACTGCACTAAAGGTAAGTCCATCTTTCAGCATTTAGTGCCTACTGAATACCTATCACATCTTTGCAGTGAAATGTTATTCTTTACTTTGTTATATTTTGTTTGATAGAAGAATTGGTGAATTATTGACTGCGAGGTAGACTGATTTTTCCTTTTATTTAGTGCCATCCAAATGCCCAAAATGGTGGCTGTCCTGGCAATGAAACTATGCGGGCCAGTCGGTCTGAGTTGGAGTGTTTGGCATGACTGCCCATTTCAGATTGTCTGCCTGACAACCCATCTCTAACAAACATCCTTTTGCGCCTGCCCGTCCTTTGACTGCCTTGTCTCGTCTGACGGTCCGACCGGTCCGATGGCCGTCTCCGAGTCTCCGACCATTAGCCCCTGATCCCCCCTCCTCCTTGGACTGTTGGCTTCTGTCCCTGATCTCCAGCCTGTATGACCGTCCTTCCCGTCCCTGACCGCCCCCCCCCCCCCCCCAGTCTGTGGCCGCTCCCGTCTGACCCCCCGCGGTCCGCAGGGCGTGGTGAAAGTCGGCGCCGTGGACGCCGACCAGCACCAGTCGCTGGCCGGACAGTTCGGCGTGCGCGGCTTCCCCACCATCAAGGTGTTCAGCGCCAACAAGAAGAAGCCCGAGGATTACAACGGGGCGCGCTCAGCCCAGGGGCTGACGGAGGCCGGTCTGCGCGCCGCCAAGGACATGGTGAACGCGCGCATCGGCGGGAAGGTGAGACCGAGGGCGGATAGGCAGGACTGCGCCACCGATCAGTGAATTATTCGGGGACTGTTAGGATATTGGAAAAGATTAGAGATGTTTCATGGGAACTGGTTTACTTCTGAAGGGATTGTATTTAGGTGGCCTAATCGTTTTTGCAAGGCCAAGAGTATCGTGCGGTTAGTTCGAAAACTGCGATATTTTATGGGGAAACGGTTCAGTTGGCGTTACGTTAAGTTTGCTTTTTGGTTTTAACTGGTAATGATACAGGTGCCTTACATCTTGAGAAAGAGCGTGTCGTTTTTATTGCCTAGAAAATAATCTGGTCAGCACAGGGAACGTTGTCCACTGAGACATTCAGCACAGACTGAGCACCCATATGTCCTTTCCCCTCAGTCGAGCGGCGGTGGTAGCGGTGGCGGCGGCGGCGGCGGCGGCGGCGGTGGTAGTGACAAGGACGTGATCGAGCTGACGGACAGCAACTTCGACAAGATGGTGATCGAGTCGGACGATATCTGGCTGGTAGAGTTCTTCGCGCCGTGGTGCGGCCACTGCAAGAACCTGGCGCCGCACTGGGCAGAGGCCGCCACCCGGCTCAAGGGCAAGGTCCGTGCCAGGGGGCGTCACAGTGGCGCTGTCTTGGTAGACGGATGGTAGTGGTGTCTTGGTAGTGGGATGGTAGACGTTGGTCATCGTCGTTTTGCATTTTCAGAGCTTATTCGCAATGGTCAATTGTCATTATTTTTTCATCAGCCATCTGTTTATCTCTTCTCCGCTTGACTGGTGCCGTGAACATGTCATAATAACGCTTGGTGTATGAACAGACCGCAGGGCGCCGAGCACCCATGTTCACCCCCGTCTAGTCCCCGTATCCCGTCCCTCACCAGTTCACGTCCCGCCGCAGGTGAAGCTGGGAGCGCTGGACGCCACCGCTCACCAGGCCAAGGCCAGCGAGTACGGTGTGCGCGGATACCCCACCATCAAGTTCTTCGGCGCCGGCTCCAAGAGCCGCGGCAGCGCCGACGAGTACGACGGCGGCCGGACGGCGGACGACATCGTCCGCTGGGCAGAGGAGAAGGCGGTCGCCTCGCTGCCGCCACCAGAGATCAAACAGGTGCGTGGGGAGGGAAGGAGGGATGGAGGGAGGTGGTAGTTGATTTCCAGGGGAGTATATTGTATTTACGAGGCGTGAAATTAAGATGGTATCAATTATCATGGCGACGCTTGGTTAGGGAGGACCGATTGACTTTGGTTGCAGCGTTGCAACTTGCAGGTTGTGCTGGTTGGTAAGACATATGAATATCTCATTATGAACAGGAAGTACGCTCGTAGTGATTCAACAATTACTACGTTGCATATCGCAATGGTGGAACCAAGGCCGGTGGAACATTGAGTTGCGAGAGTTCGTTGTTGATCGTTACGGACTGCTGCGCTGACTTGATTACCTAGTAGGTAATCTAAGCTCCTCGTCTATCTGCCGCGCACTGACCACGTCTTCCAATGTACTGCGCTGGGTGAGTGTTATCTGACGCCGCCTCTCTCCCCGGCAGATCACGTCTGACAAGGTGCTGAAGGAGGCCTGCGAGGAGCACGGACTGTGCGTGATCGCCTTCCTGCCGCACATCCTCGACTGCCAGTCCGAGTGTCGTAACGGCCACCTGTCCGACCTGGGACGGCTCGGCGACCGCTTCAAACAGAAGCAGTGGGGCTGGCTGTGGTCGGAGGCGGTCGCTCAGCCCGAGCTCGAGACGGCCGTCGATATCGGCGGCTTCGGCTACCCGGCCATGGTGGTGGTGAACAAGAAGAAGGGCTCGTTCGCCACGCTGCGCGGACCGTTCAACTTTGACGGCATCAACGAGTTCCTGCGGGAGCTGTCGTACGGCCGCGGCTCGACGAGCGCCATCCGCGGCGCCACGCTGCCGGCCGCCGCCGACGTGCCCGCCTGGGACGGCAAGGATGGCGAGCTGCCGGAGGAGGAGGACATTGACCTCAGCGACGTCGAGCTCGACGACCTGCCCGAGAAGAAGGACGAGCTCTAGGCGGCAGGCGAGGGCGTGAGCGCCCGGACAGACGCTTGGGCGCCGGGGATACGCACTGCGCGGGGACGAGTGGGGGCACGAAACGGACAGACAATCTCAGACGCCTCGCGATAGTCGCGTGGCGGGTTCTGAGCGGGGACGCGCAGGGGTACAAACTAAGGGCGCGAGCTGTTGACAGACTGATGCTCAAGGGCGGAGCGCCCCCTGCATCCGACTCCTTCCCAGTGGGCTCTTCCCATCGAGAACGACACGCGGCGCGCACGAGCGACTCACAAAAACATTGTCTCTTTTTGTGCTGTGCATTTTGTTTAGTTGTGTGTTGAATTAGTTTTCAACTAAACCATGGCCATTAACTGACATGGCGCGGAGCTGTGGACGGCTTGTTAACGGTTAGAGGTGATAATGCATTCCATTGTGATAACTTTTCTGAACTGAAATTCGCCGGTACGTCATGCTACAAATACAGTCAGCCGGGAAAAGACCGCCTGTTTTGCTGAGTCGTTAGCTGATTAGTGATTCGTTTCATAATGACCACATGACGGCGATAGTGTCGTTTCTGAACCATCGCCGGTTGAAGCGACGGCTGGAGTCCTGTGTAGAGAAGTGCAGAGGCAGCCACTGGCACAATGGCACATTCATCACCAATCCGGTTCTCGTTTTGCAGGCGGGTCCGAACTCCGAAATGAATCAGAAATCTGGGCATCGTTTCATAAAGCGAGTCCGTAACTTACGCCGGTTTTTGGTCTTGTATTGTAAGTGCATGTGAAGCGATGATAGTTTGAAACGTTGAATTTATTTATCTTGCAAGCAAGAACAGGAGAGAGGGGGGAAATAAATTTATCGCTTCACATGCGCTTGCAATACAAGCCCAAAAACCGGCGTAAGTTACGGACTCGCTTTATGAAACGAGGCCCTAGTTACATTTATGAACAGGCAGTCTCCAAGCAGACTCGTCCGTCATCAAGGGTCTGCGACTAGGTGCGGTCCGGATCATTACAGACGGTCGACGGCATCCCGTTCCGATTCGTTTACAGACGACTCGGGACCCCTTCCTGCATCCGCCTGAGCTGGCACGGCCACTACTGCTGCTGAGATTTTCACGGAAATCATGCGCTTGTATCCATGCAGATTGTCAAGACGATTGGCCAGCACCCGGAAGGAAAAAGCGCTATAAATCGGGAACCCGTTTAGTCGGCACTCTTGCATCGGGGTTTAGATGCCAGCCAAGGCGACAGTAACGGGATCGTTCCCGTTTTCATCCTTCACGGTCAGATGGTTAGTTACAATCCACGCTGTACCGCAGGGCACTCAGTGCTTGAGCCGACGCTAGGCCGGGACAGATTTTGTCGTGAACTTTGCCGTGACTACATTGAACGAATACAAGTCGGGTCACAGAACATTTGCGTCACAGTATCAACCCAATCATGCTTTGTGTTTGTGACTGCTTTGACTGCCCAATAAGCGGCGTTTTTTTCACTCCCAGAGAGGAGCGATCAGCGCCGACCCCGAGCGAGCGGCGCCATATCTGAAGGACCGCTGCCAATCATGAAAATCGCCGGCGGCAGAAACTCGGGGTTTAAAAGACCGTTTATTGGTTCCTGCCACATCACAGTCGGCTGCACGGCTGATGCCGCGGAATAATCGCTCCGCGGGCCGGCACAGCGCGTCTCATCGCCGCACCCCAGGCCCGCGAGGGTCCTGTCCCGAGCGACCAGCGGGCACAGACGGCACTGGAATGGCCTTCAGGGCACTACGATAACACCGCACAGGCAAGTTACTATTATGGCTACATTGTCATGCGCATATTGCACCGCTATAAAAAATAGATGCAATGTTTGGGCGACATACGACCCTTGGAAGGCTGCAACGGGTGGGGAAAGACAAAGCAGAGTAACAATATTATGAGAACAATCGGTTTTGGTTTCATCGCGGCAATGGTGGATTTGTTTCTCGCTGCCAGGCGCATAAACTTGCCACGTCTTCACACAGCTGGTCAGAGACGGTTGAAAATCGCGTCCCACTTTTGGATGAGCACATTCTCCTAAAGAGAGATAAACGATTATGTTCTCCTCCAGTTCAGTAAAGCTGCTGGTCACCAGTCAGATTGGCCCTACAGTGGTGCTACGTCGCACTGGACAGCCGCCGTTAACGCCCGGCTTACGGCAGCTGTTGGCAATATCAGGCACGGTCACGGCACACTCGTTACAACACAGTAGACCGGCGTCGAAAGCACAGAGCTAAAACCAGCTGCCGCCCAGGCGGGCGCGCCGGGCCAGGTCGGCGCGGGCAGCGGAGGCCCAGCTGAGGCACAGAGCTAAAACCAGCTGCCGCCCAGGCGGGCGCGCCGGGCCAGGTCGGCGCGGGCAGCTGAGGCCCAGCTGAGGCACAGAGCTAAAACCAGCTGCCGCCCAGGCGGGCGCGCCGGGCCAGGTCCGGGCGGGCAGCGGAGGCCCTCCCGTCAGACGGTCAGCCCCAGATCAGGCGGCCAGCAGACACCCCAGTCACTCCCACAGCCAGCTCAGTCATAGGAGCACGCACACAGACGACATCGCTCACTCCCCCACGCAGTACAATGGCTCTCTGGGTATTCCAGACCCCTTCACTCAGATCTCTGTCGTCAACGGTTCACCTTTCGAGGCACTCTAGCGGGGCGGTTCGCAAATAAGTCGGCCCTATCCTCACTCACTCATTGACACTCGCACTCACATTTCGTCCTCTTAGCTGCTGCCAGGAACAATTTTGTGACACTTCCCGGCGCCAAAATTCCCGTCCCTGTGAGGGTATTGTGCCGGTTTGGTGGCCTAGTGGTCAGCTGTCCCCCACAGCACTGGCCGCGTCTCCTCCCCTACTAGTCTACACACAGCGTCCCTGGACCCAGTGCAGTATGTTGTCGGCCGCAGCCGGGAGCAGCCGCCCCGGTCCGCGGTCCGCCCGGTCTCCGGCGGCAGACTGGCGGCGCGCCGAGCGACCGGCCGCTCACGGGCGCTGCTGGTCCGAGCAGGAGAGGTCGAGCGGCCGCGGCGGCGGCTGGTCCAGCTGCAGCACCTGGTGCCACAGGTCCCGCACCACCTCAGCCAGACCGGTGGCCATCTGGTTGGCGGTGTACGGCATGCCCAGCGGCGGCACGTGCACGAACACAGTGCGCGCCGGGTCCTGCGCCAGAGACATAAAGTAGATGAAGCCGCACAGGTAGTGTCCCGGGTCGTCGGAGACGGTGGCGTCGATGGCGGACGCGCTGCCGCCGATAGCGCGGCAGGTGCGCGCCAGGTCGAGCCGGCAGCAGAGCGTGCTCGGCTGACCGGACAGGCAGCGCTGCTCGGGCGGTGTCTGCTGCAGCACGTCGCCGCGACAGTACGGACCGTTGTGCGCCACGCGCTCCAGCTGCAGCGTCATCGTGTACGAAGACACGCCCACGTGCACCACCAGCCGCGGCCGCAGCTGCTTCCAGCGCCGAGGGATCTCGCGCATCACGTACTCGTATTTGACCGGCACCTGAATAAGGAAGACGGCGATATTTTGGTACGAGCAGTGACTGCCGACTGGTTAAATAATGAAATGCTACAGCCGTGGGAAACACTCGAGGCTCAAATACAATTTGTGCCAAAGGCCAATCAAAATAAACAGAGAGAGTCTGAAACTTGATTTAAATGCTGCCTTTTAAAACGCGAATGCAATTATGAATACAAAAAGCAGCAAATTAACAAAAACAATGATCGCTCTACCACAACCCACGAGACATTCTGGGCTGTCGTATCTACCCCTCTCACCTCTTCGATGATGAGTTTGGCGCCGAGCTGTTCGCCCACGCCCATGGAGTGCAGTCGGCTCACGGCCTGCCAGCTGGCGTTTACCTCGTGGTGGCCGAACGGGCCGAACCCCGTCACGAAGATGACGTCGTCGGGGCCCGGCTCGCGCGTCACGGAGAGCGGGTGTCGCGGCACCGCGCCGGTGGCGGCCGACTTGGGCGGCAGCGCTGCCGTCTGCGCGGCCGGCGAGCTCGGCGACAGCTTGTGGGTGTCGCCGTCGTTGTGGGGTGAGCCCGCGGGCGGCGTCGTGTCGCCGGCCGGCGGCGGGCTCGGCTCGGCCGGCGACTCTGGGCCGCTGCTGTCAGTAGCCGCCTGCTGACCAGTCTGCTCCGGAGCCACCGAGAGGTCCATGCTGGCCAGCAGCTGAAAACACAACACTCAGGTCAAACAGAATTTGCAGAGCCACTGCAGAACCCATGCTGAATCTTTCCTGCTGAATGGATTACCTTTTTGAACATAGAAAGGTATGAAATAAGCAATGAAGATAAAAATTATTACATGAAACACCATTGGTACCATAAACACTTGTCACCATCTGTATTCATGCTAAGCCAGCACCTTTTCTTCAAGAATGAGAAATCAATATCAGTGCACTGATACCTATCTATTTTGTCAACTGTAGAGTGTAGAGCCAGCATATAGAGATTCCCCTCAGAAATATTCTAGTAATGACCCAAAAGCAGGTCTCCTCCAATCCTATTGAAGCCAAAGCCCCTCTCAGATTTCTTGGGAGCAGTAACAGAAAGAAACCCAATGTCAATGCCATTGTTTTATTACTGGTTTGAGGTTTACAAGCAAGACATTTAGCTTACATTAATTTTAAACAATTAATCACAGTTACTAGGCAAAGTGCAAAATGAGCATGTCATTGTCAATGGACAATGCTTTTGCAGTAATAAACTATGTTCCAAAAAAAATAATATCTTGAGAGTTGACACTTGTACACTCATTCAGCAGACATTTCAACTTGACCTGATGCCATTAAGTAAGGCCCTCCAGGTATTATGCAGTTCGTTGCCAGCATCACAATAATTGATCTGCATTGATAAATGATTAATATTGAATTTGTATTAGGGTTGCTGAAAACCGTTGCTGCGGTGTCCACACAAACCCACTTCTCATTTCTGTTGCCATTTTTAAGCCGGAAGTGGAATGTGTCTCTCATTCAAAGTTATTGTACTAAGAACAAAATAGCTGAACAGCCACTCTTTAGCTGGATGGCCGTACCCAAGGCCTAAATAAGGAAATTCAGGAAAAAAACATAAAAAAACAACCCAAACCAGTTTGTTTACCTAACGAAGAATAGTGAAATTTTGCACTCGAATTAAGCCAAAAACAATGCATTAAAAGTAAGTGAGTGTTAAAAAAACCAGCTTATCAGGTTTTGAGCAAAATTATAATCACAGCCGAGAAAAATACGAGTCACAAACCAATAAAAACATGAAAAATCACGGCTCTCTCTATCGTCTGGATAAAAATAGGCCCCGCCCATCCCAATCAGCTGCTGCATGACGAGTTGATGACGACAACCACTACTTACCAGCAACCAATCTAGGGATAGCGTACGTGACAGTAATGGTGCAGCGGTTGCAAAATATTACATTGTTACGGTTTTTGCTTTTAGGGCCATAACAACACAACAGCTTTTAGGGCTTGTTAGATGAGGATGAGGTTAGATTAGATGAGGTGTTGATGAAGGCAGGTATTTTTTAAAATATTTTTTTTTGACAATTTTTTGCCCTTGTTTTACTTAATAACTGAACCCGGGACCACCTGAAGTCTAAACCTTATTTTATATAACATGTCAATGCTGATGCTGTCTTGAAATGTGAAATTTATACAATGGTAATAGGAATAATGAATAGCAATTTCACCAACAACATTTTAATCTCTAGGAAGTGCAATTAAAATTAAAATCACTGTCTGCCACACTGCTCCGATCCTGGTCATGCAATCAACGTTCATGGGTGGTGTTTCACGGCAGAGCACTGCAGTGCGCTGCGTGTGTCAGAGCATTGGGTTTCCATGGCAGTGTCAACAAACTTCACTGTGACGCTAAGCTATGACAGCATCCCAGAACGCTAGCATGCTGCGGTACCAGCACCAGCAGCATGCTAGCAGTATTTGAACTCAAACCTCTGTTCTTGGTACAGTTTTTCAGAACCTCTCACTCTGTTCCAAACGCGATTCATCATAAACTAAGAGATCACATGCAACGTCATTTGAGTGATGCTATGGTATGCCGTAGCTACCAGTGCACACAGTGTCTGGATGGTGAAACAGGGCCATTATTAATCACATTTGCTTTGCTTTGTTTCAGCAGAAACCTGTCTGCACATGGGAGGAGCGCAACAAAAGCCCATCAAGTTCATGCATGGCAGTGGATCTCAACAGGAGAAAACCAGAAAGAACATGGATGCTTGTAGATTGCAGTTGTACACTGCTGTTATCACCTGATGTGCGTGGCTGGCATTGCTCCTGGCATTTGGCAAGAACCACCTGCAAGTGATGAGATGGTGCCTCAGTCGTTGAGTGTGCTGCAGTGTGAGAGGCGCCCTGATCTCTACTTTGTGATGGGTTTCCATTGGAGGTTCAACTGAGAAGTGAGAACTGACTGTGACCATGCTTGAGCATGCCAGTGGAGCTTTACATGCTTAGGGCAGCTTTTGAACAGATGCTGACCATGGCATGTCCCATCCAGTTATCACATGCACAGAATGGTGGGGGGAGGGCAACTCTGGGCTCTTGAGTCAGCCCTACTGCACAGGGGGTACAGATGGCCGCTTACGTTTGGTGTGTCCTGCACTGCATTATCAAGCCCAGTCTGCGCCACAGGCAATGGGTCGGGCTGCACTATATTAAAGGCAGACTATCTTGCAAAGGAGGCTGGCATCCTCTCCCATAATGACACACCAATTGGCAATCATCGCTGCGATGATCACGAGGGTGTCTGCTTATCTAACATGGTGAGGTGGAGATGCCAGTTCAAGCTGGCCTGAGGGATGGTTTTACTTCATCTGAGGCCCCCTTTCCCCGCCTGCCAGGTCCGGTCAAAAGACCGCTTCACAGTGAACGACTTGCAGTGGATGCCGTCCCACAGCGCAACGAGCGCGCCGACCAGAGGCGGCGGCCAAGAGGCGGCCGCGCTCCCCCAGTCGACGGTCCCGGTGGACGTCGGCAACGCCCACCGCGCGACCATCAGATCGGCTCGCGACAGCGCCGTCGCCGACTGACCGCATGACTGGTATCTGTTCTTGATGTGGGACCGACTGCCACCGCCGGTCGCGGAAGGGCATCGCTCATCGGCCATCGACGTCCACCAGCTTCGCGTGGGTCACTGTTCGGGCTGCCACCAATACACCGAATCGGATGGAACCCTGTCGGCGAATGCCGGCGGTGCCCCGACATCGACTGCGCGGCGGCCAGTGCATCGCGTGCCGGGAGGAGGCTGGCACCCCCGATCGGTCATTGGTCACAAACCGTGTCCCAGCTCATGACTGCATCCAGCGCAGCTCTGTGAGATGTTCTGCTGCAGTCTGCCGCGTGTGTTGAAAGAAGAATGAACATGAGAAAACCTCAAAACTTTATGCCTATTCGTATTTGACCAGTATTGGAATAAGTTTGGATTTTGAGAATTTGTGTCCCTGTGCTTGTGCCTGTGTGGAAAGGCATGCTTTACGGTGTACCATCTCAATGTCAAATCCCGGCTGCGCTGTGCGGATTTGTGCGGCTGCTGACAGGCCACCTGGGTGCCAACGTATGTGCGAATCCGCGAATACGTTGTGTTTCGTCAGTCAGTATCGTTCTGAAAATATTGACTGCAATAGGCTATATAGCGTATGACGGTTCAGCCCAGCAGTAATAACTGACCATTGATTGGGCGAATTTTGTGTGGTGGTTCGCTAATACATAACCTAAAGAGTGTTTTGCCGGAATCGTTTAGTAGCAGAACTGACCGGAATATAAGTAGAATGCAACGGTTTGAATCGTTAATTTGTTGAAACGATTGTTCTCTGAGACCACTGTGTAACTTTTGACCTGAGAATCACCAATTATAACGACAATGGGGAAGCAGTAGGCACTGTAGAGTGTAGGCAACACTATATAGTTGGCACACTTACGGAAGCACACGACTTACGCAGTGGACATCTGCATCATGCATGTTAAGGTTTACTGGGAAGAGTGAGAAATTAGTCAGAATATAACTGACTAAGGAAAATAGGCGATATTTCCAATTGAGCTGGGGCGGAGAGGGGGAGGGGACGTGTGGTCAGCTATGCCAATAATTCATTCTCTTTATACAGCTGTGTGAAAGGGCGTCCGTTTTTTGGGTGAGACCTTCCCCATCGGCCATTTCCTAGTTAAATCGTGGTGGAGAGTCTGGAGACCTCAGCCTCGGTAGTCGGTACCCTGCGCGCTGCGCCACCTTGCGAAACATAAAGCAGCAGTCCTGACATCTACAGGCGTGACTTTTCATGAAAGCGCGGATGTGTTCGCGCTTATGCGAAGAAAATTCTTCCGAGTATGGTTGATAATTAGATTCATTGTTGTCATTTATTTATTTATTCATTGGCAAAAGTACCCTAATAAATCGGTAAAGTAGCTTGAACTGTATCGTATTTCCTTGGGAAAAAATGACGAACTCATCCTAAGACATCCAGATTATTGGATGCGTTCGTCAGTTGTAAGTAGTTCAAGTTTTTGGGAAAATTTGCTTGTGGAAAATTATAATATTTCAAAGATATGCCTATTTTCGAATAATTTATGCATTTATCTGCATCGAAAAATGATTGTAAAGCAAAAATGCAAAAGATTATTGTCAACTTATTTTCTCAAATCACGATTTACGAACGCACAAAACTCCAGCTTTTAATTTAGTGCGTGTGCGAATTGCGGTCAAGAAAAAAGATTTTAACTGTCTATATTCCTCTCAAAACAATGAAGGATGAATGAGGAAAACGCTGTTTTGAACAATTGTATATTTATTTCTTCTTAATTAAGCAAAAGTACAAAATTTTAACTATTATTACATTTGCTCTCACAAAACCCATCACTTCTTAGCATGACGTCATGTCAGCCAAATTTACTAGCGCCATCTCTGGAGAGCATCTTTCGAAACCTCCAGACGATAGAGAGAGCCAAAATCACGGTATGTCAAACGCGGCGCAGCCGCCGCTAACTCACCAAGGTCGACAGTATTCATCTATAAAATTTCAGCTCCAGTTATTGATTCAGTCTACTTGCTAGCAAATGCTGACGTCATAAACCCACTACTTTTATTCTCCCGTCAGGGTTGCTGACCAGGGTTAGGGCGGGTTAGGGGCTAGAGCCTTGGTCAGGGTCAAGCCCGAGCCCTAAAACATGCCTATCAGTACGGCTCGAGAGCATAAAATAAGTCTGGAAAGGGATTATTTGAGGTCACGTCCCCCAAAACTAACTACCATCTTGGACACAGGCGCGGAAACCGGGGGGCAGCGGGGGCAGCTTGCCCCCCCCCCCCTCCAACTCTAGGGCCATGGGGGCGGTGTCCCCACAACTTTGAGACGGAATACCGCACTTTTTTGCAAATGTTTTCTTTTTTGTTGAAAAAAGCCAAGGGATGAAAAATAAGTGGCTTAAAACCGGCGTGAACATGGATTTGGGGATACCTACCCTAGGTTGATCTCTTATTATGGTGTGCCCCACTCTGAAAGTAGTTCCCGCACCCCTGTCCTCAGATGTAGATTACAAAGGTGTGATGGTTTTAGACTCCCAAGGGAGCATCCGCTTTGACTGGCGAGGGGGAGGGGGTAACTACAGCAAGAGTCAAGACTGCTTCATTTTATGTAGGCACTGCATCAGGCGACAGGCGTGCCGCAAAGTCGGGTATCAGGTCTGGGCTACGTTCCCCATGAGTCACGATGCCCCAAAACCGATACGGCCGCCAGTCCAGTCCAGTCCACCAGTCCTGTTATCACCACATATTGCTGGCCTCGCTCGATAAGCTGCCGGCACCAACCACCCGTCCGCTACCGGTGAATGAATCGGCCGACACTCAAGGCTGAGCTGCCGGTACTAGCGCCCAGTGTAATCTGCCCAAGAGCTACGCCTGCTGCTACAAATCAGGAACATAGGGCTATTCAGCCATGTTTTCCAAAATATTACGTCTGTGACAGCGCATAATTGGACATCGGATTTATTTGCTGCATTATTTTACACATCCAACATTTGCACACTGATGTGCATTTTGGTGAACACGACGCAACACAGCTCATCTACTTCATTCCGTCGCAGAACAATGACAATGCGATTGAAAAGTCACAAGCATCTGACACAATTACAGTTTGATACTGCGTTACTTTTCTTTGGTGCGATGAAAGGAGACGGGTAATGATAAATGATATAAAGGATATGTTGCCCATCGACCGACTGTAACATGGCGTGGTGACTAAAATGCTATGCGGTCTCCAGCTAACACAAAAAGGTTGCCGCCGGCGATATATCGTGTCTCTATGAAGGCACACACTTGATAAAAACTAACTAAAATAAAATCTTTTTTAAATTATCTACAAAACAACAGAAATTACTTCACCAGCCTAAACCGATCCGCATACCGCATTGCATTTACTGTAACGACAGCAGTTCACGAATCTCGATGATAAAGACACGTGTAACCGCGAAACCATATGTACACTTTCGAGCACCGACTACCACCTTCCCTTATCTTCCGAATGGAGGTAGCCGCAGCCCGCAGATCTCGCTTCACAGCCGCTCAGTTAGCCGCGCTCCGGCGGTGTTCGGCCTTCTCCTCACGGTCCACCATGGAGCTGCGCGCATGCGCAAACGCCGACTCCACGCGGGAGGCCGTCTCGCGCCAGGCGTCTCCGAGGTCGGGCAGGTCGGTCAGGTCCAGCGAGATGTGCGATGACAGCCGCTTGTACATGCTGGTCTCGCGCTTCTCACTGCCGGAGAGACGGGCACAGATGGGCCGTCACAATGACGTCATTGCATTCACCTATTTACTTGAGTCAGTACATGTCGCGTTGTTTTTCCTAATTTGCCTGTTGCGAAATTGCGTTGGCAAAACTGATCTTTGAAAATTAAACTTACTAAGAGAAAAGTCAAGCATGAAAGTCATAAAAATAACTACACTGATATCAAAAACATGATGGGCTGAACAAAGCAAATCAAGCAAGATAACTATAAACAACAAAAGCCAGCCGCGAAAAAGTTATCCAGTTTACTATGGTTGTCAGCACATAGCTTGCCATTGGCAAAAAAATTGAAGCGTGATTCGTTTCTTTGACCAGCTTTCATTGCGTTGGCGAAGAGCATCCAACTGGTACATTACGACCTACAAGTCAATGTGAACCAGGGGTGGATACTTCTGCTGAGCTGGGGTTTCACAAGCGCAGCAAATCCGCAGCGACCTTGACCTCCGCCGTCTATTGCGGCTCCAAGCCAAGCCCGCATGGAATTGGGAAAGCTCGTGCTACCCCAACTCGGCACAATTGTCCACCCCTGATGTGAACTGCCTTTAAAGTTATACAGTAAAGACCTTAAAATGTTGAGAAACTACAGTATAAATCATTGATTGACAGGAAAAGTAATGCAGCGGTGAGCACCCTAAGAAAGCTTTACATAGATCACTTATAAATTCCTCAAATATCATATCATATTCGACGATAACAATGTCCTGAAAACGATCAATTATCATTCGACTTTGAAGATCGCCCGTTAAGCTCATAGCTGCTTGCAATTAGCATGCAACAACAACCATAAACGTAAAACAAGTGAATGATGTTGCTAACGGCGGTTGAAAGTTGAAACATGCATTGAAACATGCAAATGTTGTTACGAACTCAGACGATTAAGCTATAATCTATAACTAGGTGAACTGTCCCGTTGATGTTGGCTTTGAAATCAATAAACAGCGTACAGTCTGTCTTAAAAGTACCGCGCAAAGTGACGGTGGATCCATCAAGCCTGACCGATGAAGGACTGCCAAATTTGAGTCACCGAAGCAATGGACATCCTCGTCCATTCCCCAGCTCCATTGGTTCGGTGACTTTCAAATTATAGCAGGCCCTTCCTCGGTCAGGCTTGATGGATCCACCGTCACTTTGCGCGGTACTTTTCAGACAGACTGTACGTACACTAGCAATGCGATGCCGAATACGGTAGCGAAACTCACCCGTTCAGCTCAGCTACTACCGCGATGGGTCGGGTCTGTCTTTATGTCAATGCTCTGTGCTTCGTCACTGAACAAATGAGGGAAATAATACAGACCAGTGAGCAGAGATTTACGTAAAAGGATCAATCCAACGAGCAACAAAAACAACACAGACATAGACCGTTAAAACCAAAATGGCAAAAGCGCATGGAGGGAACAAAACAATACCTTACTATGCGTGGAATAAGAAGTGGAAACTGTAATACTGCAACCAATTTAAAAAATAAATGGAAAATGCATAAAAGCAAAATATAGGAGGCATATTGAGATGTTGAACGAAGAACAAGACACATTCAACGGAGGTTGAAAACGTGCTAAGAATGTTAAATACGACAAATAGTCTTTAGAGAACTGCTAACAGACGGAGGTTTACACGTTCATCTGTATTTGTGAAATATAGTATGAATATGTCATCAAGCAATACATAATAAATACAATAATATCAATACAGTGCAGGCTGACTGTTTATCGAACAATGCTAGACGCTAGTGATAAAATATCGTGCATTTGATACATGTAAGGGTTCAATCAGTGTTTCTTATGTTCCAGTAACCTTTTCCGCTTCTCTTCATACAGAAGCTGCTGTCGGAAGAACAGAGAGTTCCTCAGGAGTTCTTGGATGTTCGAGAAAATCGGCTCTGCCTTCTGCATCGCCTTCACAGCACTGAGAACAAAATGAGAAATTAAGATCAGGCTTTAGAGTGGTGCACGGTATAAGCACGTATAAGAAGAACGAGTGGTCAAAGCTCACTGACAACTTTTCGATAGATATTAGAGAATAGTGAGGTAAAGTGAGAACAAATCCCTGAGAGACGCAGTTCACAACAGTAAAACTAAAAACTTCCCAATTTATGACGAACGTAATACAGTACCGTACCAAACAATGCCACTAACAAAGGTAGGTACGCAGTTGATTATGAGTTGACCCCCGTCGGGCCGTAGCCAGCCGCCGGCGCGCACCGGTGTGGGAGCTCTCACTTGATGGCGTACTCGGCGTCGTAGCAGTGTCCCTGGAGCTGCTGGTGCAGCTGCACCACCTCGGCACGCCGCTCCACGGTCGGCGGCAGCGACTTGCGGATGTGCTCCTGCATCCGGTACAGCGCCAGAGACGGGTCGTTCACCAGAATGTGCATGTTTTCGGAGGCACGCTCCGTCGCTGCCGGAACAGAAACTGAGTCGCAGTTCCCTCCTCTCACGGAGAAAGAGTCGGAAGCCCTGAGAAACTCTCGATACTGTACTGTAGAATTACCACGGGCCACCACCGCCAGCCATAATTGGGCTCAAAAGCTATGGAAATATAAGCAATTTGGGCACCATCTCTTGCATGCTGAGAAGTAATGCCCTGAGATCACTACTCTGTCTGATCTTGAGGTTTGCTGGGCTGGGAGATGTTAATAGGTATGTGTTATTCAATTTCAAATCATAATTTTGATAATTACATGTTAATTAAACCATAGATTTATGCAGCTTCTCACCTTTCTTAGCTCGAGCATCCAAGTGTGGATCATGTGGAA